TCCATAACAGGCATATTCTTCATCTGTAAAAAACAGAAAGTTCTGAAAATGTTTCCTTTTTACTCTCAATGGTGCACAATGTGAGTTTCCACTAAACTTCTTAAACTGCCACTGCATGTGGACCAAACTTTTAGAGCACAATATATTCTGACAAAAATATAAATGTTGCTTAAATACCTAAAAACTTGGCATATGTATAATTTTAAACTTACAAGAATATGTGTTTTTGTTATACAAGAAACAGCACTTCCTCAACGGGGTAATCAAAATAACTTGTTTAATTTTATATCTGATTAAAAAAAGCCTTACTTTGTTTTTTGTTTGTAATTTTTAGATGCTAAAATGTTATGAGAAAGTATAGGATACCATATGTGGTTATATTTACTTGAATTGCTTTAGAAAATCTTTATAACTAGTTTTAAAATTACAAGTTAAAACAGATACTGATTATTTTATTATTAAAATTTTTAAAAAGAGAAAATATAACAATGTATATCACAATTTAACTAAAAAAGTCAAGATTTTTTCACAGTCATAGGCTAATAAAACACTTTAAGATGACAGACACTTCTAAGATGATAGAACAGCTGTTGAGAACACACCTGTCTGTGTGAAACTAGGTGATCAAATGTGACTTTACAGAACAGAAAAAAACTAATATGGAAGACAAATCATGTCATCTGCTAGCACACCTACAGTAGCATCATATGTTCTCTTGAAAAATTAATTATAAAAATTACAGTTGCCATATCATATCAAATTATACTCCATTGTTGTCATGTTTGTGGCTCCAATGTTTCATAAAAGCATGAAACATCCGGTTAGTGAAGCATGCTTGCTCTCATTGGCTGGTTCAGGTTCCCTGCCAGAGTCAGTGCAACCAGTTTCATAAATAACACATAATAATACCTGATAAACAACTGAAATGGTATCAATATACTGCACATCTAAATATACTGTGCGATCCTAATGATGCTGTAGAGATTCAGAAAAGAACAGCACATGTGGTGCATCCTCCAAATCCTAGCACCCCAACCTAGCAAGGCAAAGCATTGTGCAAATTGCTTTCAGCACTGATTTTGTAGGCACATTTGCACAGTTGCATGATAATGGCACCAGCCTTGCCAAGTGAATTGGGTGCTAAAACTATGCACATAAATGACGCCATCGACTGACGCAGTTCATTCGTTCAAAGTTAATGCACAATGATAAAGTATAAAGCTAAACTGTTTGTCCACAGCACAGTAGATCAGCTAACAAATGCCCAATGGAATATTTATATATATTTATGTAATGCCAAGGTTTTTGAATATAGGCAATGTGAAAGTGTGTAGGTGTAGTGATTTATTATATTAGTATTTGCCAGGTTTCTTTTGCATTAACAGCAAGATAATAAGACTTTCTGGTACCCAAACAATTCGAAACCCCATTTTGCTTTTTGTCCAAAAATGTGCAAGACCATAGAGTTGAAAACATGACAATTTCCTTGTGCACAAGCCACTTCACCGCCTCCTTACAGAGAAATGCAATCTAACATCTCATGTTATTTTATAGAGAGGTAGGCCTATTATTTTTGCAGATAAAACCCCGGCGGCAGAGCTATCCTTCACCACTGATGATTGCAGCTTATTGCTGTGAATCAGTACAGAAATATTTTCCTAACAGCTTTCCTCTTGGCACACTCTTCACTGGGCTGTGTTATTTTTAGTTACTCAAGTGAATCACTCGAATCAAAGGAGAGAATTGACAAACAATGCTAAATTCACAAACGCTTGTGGAAATGCTGTGCATGTTCACTAAAAGTTTGTCCAAAACATGGTTTTTGAACATAATGTGTAGTTTATTATCACAAATAATTTATATGTATATACACTAGGGGTGTATACCTGCACTGGTAGTCTGTTAAATTTGATATCTTGGTGTCAATGACGATACTTTTCGTAAACAACTTGACATTTTACTTAGCAACACTATAATTCTTGTATTAAAGTTAATAATTTATAAATCTATTTATATATTGTTTATAATAAAATTGTGTACTTTAATACAAGCAGTCAAATATATAGTTGAAGTCAGAATTATTAGCCAAACCCTTTTTCTGTAGACTATCAAAAAATGTATCTCAAAGAGACTAATTATTTTGACCCTAAAATGGTGTTTAAAAAATAAAAAAATTGCTTTTATTCTAGCTGATATAAAACAAATAAGACTTTTTCCAGAAGACAAAATACTATCAGACATACTGTGAAAATTTCCTTGCTCTGTTAAACATCATTAGGGAAATATTTAAAAAAGAAAAAAATTCAAAAGGGGGCTAATAATTCTGACTTCAACTGTATGTAGGCTACTTTACCTTTAAATTGACCTGCTCAATAAAAACACTCTTTTTGAATGCATCAAACAAAACTAAAGTACATACACAAAACAACATGAGCATTTAGAGAAAATAAACTAATGTAACTATTATCCCGCTTGCCCTTTGAGCATTGCTGAGTGAGTTCTTGAATGCCTATGATTGATCACGCGCTCATCAGAATAGGTTGCGATTGGCTCTGACGGTCAGTGCAGTTCTGGCGCTGTTCAGCCAACAGTGACACGGACACTGATGTTAAACGGCCGCGGCGATCAGCTGATCCATTATAGACAGCGACACGGTGGAAAAAACTCGCTCTGCAGTCATGCTCTTTTTTGGAAACACAAGGAACGTTATTACTGTAACAGCCAAGAGATGAGATACAACTTTATCTCACAAACATTTTTCATTTTTGCCTGGCTGGGCCTGGCGCGCCATGCAGTGCCATGCATTTCAGAATTCTAAACATAGGTTTCTATCTGGGTATACACACCGGCGCCACAAGTCAGCGGCTGTCCACGGTGCCCAGCCACGACTCAGGATACTGTTCATATTTCTGCCGCGCCACAGAGAACAATCTGATTAGTTTCATTTTAAATATCATGCCAATGTGCGCGTCTGGTGTGCGATACTTTAAACTGTCATGTGCTGATCGGCGCATCCGGTGTGTGACGCCCTTACGGGTGGGACGGTTCAAAATTGCCAGTTCAGTTTATATTGCTATTCTGTGTTTGTGGCTTTTGTTTTTTCTATTTACATTGTAAAACAAAATCCCCTATTGTAACACAGTTTAGAAATACCAGAGCAGATCTATCTCAGTTTTATTTTTGTTCTAAGATACAGATTTATTGAATGGAATTTTTGAAGTGCTTTCCGAGGTGTTGAAGTTGCAATTACAACCGGATCCAATGCTTTTAATTCAGGAATTCTCGGATCAAACACATTTGTTGTCAAATACATAACATAAATTGCTCTCATACTGTTTAACTACTGCCAAGAATGTCCTGCTACTGTTCAAGGAAAAAAGGAATCCCCTACATGTAAACTGTGGCTTGGAGATGTTACATTTGGAGCGAATCAGATACTATTTGAAAAGAAAACTTAAACAATTTGACAAAACTTGAAATCCTTTTATCTGTTACCTTGAAAAAACCTTGTGGAATAATGCATCTTTTCTGTAATGTTTTAATATGATTTGTCATCATACTCTGTTGTTCAAACAGGTCTTTGTAAACAAGTTGGCTTATGTTGGTGTTTTTATATTATTTATTGTTATGATTTTTATAATGTTTTTCCTTTTCTTTTTTTCTTTCTATTTGCTTTGCCTTTGTGCTCAATCTGTGTTTTCAATTAAACTTATTTGGAAAAAAACAGGAGCATAAAATACATAGCATTATAATCTACAGTTTATAGTATTTAAAAAAATATATTCTTAAACCTGTGTATTCTAATTCCAGTCTTAAAGATATATATATATATATATATATATATATATATATATATATATATATATATATATATATATATATATATATATATATATATATATATATATATATATATATATATATCAGTTTTTCACCTTTAATTAATAAGACAGTTGAGAGTATAGACAGTTAAATGTGGGGAGCAGAAGTGGGGGGGTTGATCGAGAATCAAACTCGGGTCGTCGTGGGCACCGGAGTGCCGTTTGTCGATGCACTAACCCCTGAGATGTCATTTCAAAAAATTCTACCATGAATGTGTACTTTCACTTACCCAGACTTGTCCTACTGTTAAATATGAGTATACATACATTATGTTACATGCATTCTGCCTATATGTTGCAGCAACAGAACATGTTGATTTCAAAAAAGTATTTGTGAGCAGAAAGAGAAATGCACACAAGACCAAGTATTGAGTTTCTGCTGCGTCTTGCACTGGAATCTTTAAAGTTATAACCCAAAGCATGTCAGTTATCAGCAACACACCAAACCATGTCAAAAAGAACTAAACATTTTTTTTTTCGTGAACTGTCTCTTCCCTAGTGTAAATACACAAAAAATAAAGTCACTGAAAACATGAAGTCATGTGAATGCATTTGTATGTGTTGAGGCAGGTGTAGATTAATGTCAAGTTTGAACAAACACACAACAATGGTCAAGTAGTGTTTTTGCCAACACTTCATCCACAACGTGCTGATGAAAATTTACATGGCATCAAACACCAGAAATGCACACCTCTTACAAACTCAACAAATTGCACGTAAACATCAGCGACAATCTGACAACGACATATAGTCACTACCTTACAGACACTGTTTCTATAAAAGATGACAGTACCAAATACTTTCCTGATATACGTGATGCAATATTTTTGGTTGTTTTCAAGCATCAAAACAATTAAAGCATGGCACATCAGAATGTGTTAATAGTAAGTAACAGTAAACAGTAATTTTTTATATTACTATTTTATAATTTTTATAACTTTTTATAATTATTAAAGATTTCTGAACTTTGCAACATTAATTGCTTTCTCAAGTTGTATAAATGAGGATGGAGAAATTCCACTTTATACTGTACTCAGAAGCATCATATAACCAACACTATGAATGCACACCCTGTTACAACACTGAAGTGATGATCATTCTTCTTCTATCCCCCTGTAGACGGACTGCTCCAGTGACAGTGAAAGCGAGGACAACTTCATCGTCATCCCTCCTCGTGATCACCTGGGTCTCGCTATCTTCTCCATGCTCTGTTGCTTCTGGCCTCTGGGCATTGCTGCTTTCTACTTCTCTCAGGGGGTGAGTGCAAAACCCACCAACCAAATCCGCAGCCTAACCATTAAGCCTCTGAAAATATCTGCCACGACACGAGCAGACAGACGCAATGACACTTTCTCATCTGTGCCCCCCTGTAGTCTCCCGAGAGAAGAGAGTTTGTGATCTCTATGAGCTCCTTCTAATAATACAGAACAGGTGCCTTATTATATAATGCGCACAATTATGCGCTCCACTCCTCTGATATAAATATGTAAACACAAATGCACTGATGGGGTGTTTGTGAATAGCGTTGATGCTATGGCCCTGTTTACATCTGATATTAATATGCATTTTTATTGAACCCATCAAGTGGATGATGCTAAATTTACAGTCAAACACACTTTTTTTTTTTTTTTTTGCATTTGAACAACATTAGAAATTTGTCAGGGGTATGAATAATTTCAGACTTGACTGTATGTACGCTGATCAGATGAGTTTTAAACTTTCCATCTACAAGGGTTTGGTTTGAAGGGTGAAAACAAATGCAAAAAGCTAATGTTCTCTTACCAGACCTGATTCTAACACACAACCGTTAGATCAGTAACATAAACTGTAGGCCTTCATATCATTTTCCGTTGTCTTTTCTGTGCACACATATGCTCTAAAGAGAATTCCACTTCAACTGAATAGTTGAATCAATACAATCTCAGAATCTCACATAACTGATGTAGGGGAAACATACAGCAAAGTCCCTTTAAGGCAAGTTATTTCAATCGGCAGCCATCTTTGAAATGCCTCACGGGCAGTATCCTCAGGCATTTTGTCTGAATGAGGAAACATAAAATTCTCTAAAATGTTTGCCAAGATTACGATTACTTTACATATTTGCAATCATCAATAAATTTAATCAACAACTGTCTCTTAAGTTTCGTTCTAAATGTCTGAATCAAACTAAATCGGCATGTTTTCAGGTAGCTTAAAAGCTAAAGCCGCCTTTCCACTGCACAAGGCATTTGGACACGAATGTCGGCATACGCCCTCTTGTGGCAGTCGCACAAACTATTCAGTTTTGTCGTGCACATGGGAGAGAAGCTGTTCTCACTGTGTCTGAAATAAGATTAATTAAATTAAATTACATTTTTACTGCCATGTCTCTAAAACATGAACAGTTTATGCTGTTTGAATGAATGCCAAAGTCTATTTAACTGATTGTATTTTAATTAATTTACATCGATGCTGTAAAAGGAACTATATAAAATTCACCGGACGTTTATCAGAAAAATTATTCTGTTTAGAATATGATTGACCCTTTCATTTTCATTTATAAGGTATTTAGTAAGCATAAATAATACTTTAGATTAGGTCACAAAACTAATGTAGTTAATAAAAAAATGCATTACCATACAAATGAACTATTAGTATGTGCCTAAATAAAAAGATATATATGAATGTTATGTAAAATAGTTTATTAGTCATTTACTTATGCATTCTGAATGATCTTAAATCGTAACATTATCTTAACAGATAATAAATTTACTATTTGCTAAAGCTTAATATAAAAATATATTATTTATTATAGTGTTACCGACTGACCCCCTATACATGTTGTGTAGACCTCCTTCTGGGTGATCAAGCATTATTTGGATGGTCAACTTCCCCAAAACCCCTCTAATTCGCACCCTGCTTGTTAGCTTTAGTTAAAGCATTAAGTTTACATGAACTAACAACAAACAACTGTATTGCCTTTTACTAATGTCAACAAGCATGAATAATATACTTTAATAATGTATTGTTCATGAAAATACTGTAAATACATGAACTAATATTAATTACTTTAGTAGAGTGTTAGTAGAGATGTTTTACATTCTTATGCATTCTCTCAGCGTCTATGAATTTTTGAAATTCTGTGGTGAAATACAGCTTTGTGAATTAATGTGCTTTTTAGCGATTTATTTTATGCAGAGCAAAATATGGGGATGAGCATGCTTATCCATCATGCTTCTCCAAATTAATGATTTCATTAGTACATTTAAAGACAATAATTACTTGCAATGTTCTAAAATATGTTTTATGAGTTCAAATGCAGACAACCATGTACTGTAAATGTTAAAACGGTAGTAACTTCGACTTATCACAGTATTTTTATACTGCTACTCTCTGATGATTTGAAGTGCCTCTTTGATCCTCACTTGTAAGTCGCTTTGGATGAAAGCGTCTGCTAAATAAGTATGTGTGAGAAGTTGTATTAGGAAGTACTTTTACCTCCATTACTCATGCGTGCCCTATTCATAAAGCATATTTAATAGATTTCACTGCTTTAGCATTCACTTAACAGTAAAACTGAGCAGAATTAAAATATTATAATTTAAAAGGGGCTTTACTTTTTAATTTACATTAAAAGTTCAGAAAATTCAACATTCACACATGCCTATAGACCCTCGCTTATTTTAAAGGTGGTTGAAAGTGGCCAAAAGAGAAAGAAGTAAATGTAAACTGAGAAGCGTCTCTGTTCATTTACTGTAAATCTGATTAACAAAATGCATTTTAAGACAAGCTGTAAACAGGTCCTCTGACGCATCGTCTTTTTTCTGCCACAAAATGCATCTATTTTTCCTTTTTTTTCCCTAATTTTCCTTTTTTACCTCCAAATGAGCCTTATCATTCTTATTTTCAGTTTAGTTTGTGGCAGACACTATCAAGAGTAAATTATTTTGTCAGGAGTTAAGTGAATTCTCTAAGAGTAATTGTGATGATGATGGTGTTGGTGCTGTTCAGAGAAGTGAAGTTGTCCAGAACAAAGCTTCACTCCTCAGTGTGTGTGCATGTGTGTGGAGGATGGAAATGAGATCTGGTGGATATGTGAATGTTTTTGCCCTGTCTCCTGGCTGGAAATATTCCTCCGAGAACATCCTGAATGGATTTTCTCACTTTCCCTGCGGCATAGGGTTGAATGTTCATGAGGAATGTCTCCAACCATTTGCTTTCGACTCCTTCAACATCCACCTCTGTCTCACTCCAGCAGAAAGAGAAAATGACGTTCGCTGCATCTTATTACTAACAAAGCACTTTGAATTAAATAGAAATTTCCCTCTTTTTTAATAAACATATTTTAAGTAACCGCTTTGAATTTGATGGATTTTTACATCCATCACTTTGTAAGAACTACTATATAGTTAAAAATTGGTTAAAATGCATTTAAACCTTTTAACAATATAACAATGCCATATTATTCGTTTTTGGCAATATTTACTAACATTTAATTGTCAATTTTAAAACCTTATTTTACACTATCATTCAATCTACTTGCTTTTACCCATTTGTCAGCTAGACATTTTGGTAACACTAATACTTCAGAAAAAGTTCCCACTAAAAATTAAATATTGGCTTATTAAAGTACTATTATCAATATATTGTTTATTAGTACTTATTCTACTTCTTTAATAATGTCCAATGCCTGAATTACCTCAAGTGCTATAAATTAATACTTTATTGACTTAAAGGGCACTTATTTTACCTCTTTTACTAGATTTAAGATAAGTCTTAGATGTGTCCAGAATCTGTCTGTAAAGTTTCAGCTCAAATACCCATCAGATTATTTATTATAGCCTCTAGAATCTGCCCATGTTGGCGGCTGAATACATTGTAGCTGTTTTTGTAGCCTGTGGCTTTAAATCCAAATGAGCTGCTTCTCCCTGCTTACCATTCCCACATGCATGTCTGCTTCTTATTAGGTGTTACGTTAGATAAACAGCACAGTGGCAGAGACAGACTCGAATGAAGCTGAAATCCAGCTCATTAGTCAAAAATAGCATGTACTTTTTATTGATGTGTTTGTGGTGCAGTTTAGTCAAGCCTTTCTGAAATGAAGAGTCTCACACAAATGCCATTTGCAGTACAGACACATACATAAATTAGCATTTACTAACACCATGCGGCCGTGGTGATTATAGCTGTTAAGAATTACATTTACTGTCTTTATTCCAAACGTGCTGTGTTTAAAACGTTTTAAACTTACAAAACTTATAAAAATCACAGAGAGTTGTTACAAATATTTTAATCCCAGTTTATTTGCAAAATAAATGGTCTGTGGACATGTGTCAATTCGTTGACACAATTCTCAATCAATTCGTTGGGCAGGGAAAACCACACTCCTATGTCATGTTGCGGTAGACCTCAAAATCACTGGAATTTGGATCCTATTTTAACATCAGTAAAATTTTAAAAAGACTTGCTGGGTTTATATCACTTCAATATGACTGTGGTCACACTATACCTACACACAGTTCTTTCCAAACCCTTTAAAAGTCTTAGATACTGTTTTGTAATAGTGAAAATTGTGCCTTAAAATCAAGTGTGCCCACAATTTTTAAGCAATTAAAATGATGGAACATTGTTTTATTCAGATTTTGACATTTTATTCATAAACATTATTTGAAACATTAAAACAGAGACTTCACTTGTTGTTTACATGATTTCTATATATAGCACTGTATTTAAATAAACATTATTTATATTGTTTGCTTGAGTAAGAAATTTAAGTTTACATTTCCAAACAAAGAAGACACAGTGGCTCAGTGGTTAGCACTGTCGCCTGACAGCAAGAAAGTCGCTGGTTCGAGGCCCAGCTGAGTCAGTTGGCTTCTGGTAGAGTTTGCATGTTCTCCCCGTGCTAGCATGGGTTTCCTCCAGGTGCTCCGGCTCCCTCCACAGTCCAAAGACATGCGGTATAGGTCAATTTAATAAACTAAATTGGCCATAGTGTATGTGTGTGAATGTGAGAGTGTATTGGTGTTTCCTAGTGCTGGGTTGTAGCTGGAAGGGCATCTGCTGTGATAACTATGCTGGATAAGTGAACATATGCTGGATAAGTTGGCAGTTCATTCCACTTTGGTGACCCCTGATGAATAACGGGACTAAGCTGAAGGAAAATTAACTAATGAATGTACTTTCAAACAATATGTTTGCTATTAATTGTAATAATCCAGTTTTTTGCATGCACAAGGAGACTAACAGCAGCCAGTGTGCAACCCAAAGATCTGATCTCACCCTAACAGTCCTTAGTCTGGATTTATTCTGTCTCAGTTTTATGTGTAATAACTATATTAGTAGAACTACATTAATATAACAACTATTAGCATCCAGAGCATTAGACATAGTTCTAAGCAAACACCCAATACACTTTTATTGTCAGATGTTTCATTATCTGGATTCTAACAATCCATAACTGTGTAATTACCCTTATTTATTTTTTTTCTGCTTGCTTTCAATTTACATTCAGAATGCTTTCCAAAGCTTGATCTTTATCACTATATCAGTATATTACTTGGTATAAACAGACCTTTACTGGAAAGGTCAGTTAAAAAAGATGCCTCTTAAATTTAACAAAAAAAACATGTTAACATAGCAACTCAGCTAGCGTACCAGCACTGGTGTGTCCAAACAGCCCATTATTGACTGTCGCAAAGCGTAGGAGTGAAAATCAATAGTGTTTTCCCTAGACTACAGGGTCAGATGCAGTGACAAAGGGAGCAAGACACATCCCGCAGCGACAGCCATGTGTGACTGCCAACTCTTTCCACTTCTCTAGAGGATACGAAAAAAAAAAAAGACAGCAGACTCTGAAGGGTCACGACACAATCACACAAAGCGACTGTTCAAAGCATGTTTGCGTGTTTATACACATCGCATATCATGCTGTGGGGCAATAAAACGTTGTGTATAATAGTGTCGCTTTAACTTATCTTCACTTTCTACAGAAATTTGCCCCATTAAATTCATGCAGCCCTTGAGCCATGTTCTTGGTAAACGAGCATCATAGTAAGACTTAATTATTCATTTGAACTGGGAAATGGATTGATTAAACTATTACATCGGGCTCCGTAGGCCTCGCTATTAAAGAAATTAAGGCAGTGAGATGTTCCTTTTTTTTTGACTTTAATAGCTCTCAGCAGAGCGTATTTCCAGTGTTGGGTTGTATGGAAGACGCAAACGTTAGATAATGCCATTTATTGCTAGTTCAAATCACGTGTCGTTTTTGAAACTGCCCTCAGGTGGAAATAGTACAAGACTGAATGTTTTACTCTACAAAGCGACCATGTTGCTATTTGTCAAGAGGATTGCAGCAGAGGCATCAGTGCAAAATGTTTTTTCGTCTGATCTCTGTATCATGTTTAGCTCATCCCTCCTGACACCAGCCCATATAACAAGAAAGAAACATTGTGAAGTTAGCTGTTGACGAGCTGAGCGTCTGTGCAACGCCGGATCCTGCTTTCTCTCCTGTCCCTGTTGCATCACTGATCATGACTAAAAACCTCAGAGGTGTTTTTAGCAATGTTTATAAAATGAAACAAGCGGAGACAAAGCTAATAATAATTATGACAAAAGCACACATGTAAAGTGGTCCCAATGGGCAGGAACTCTACAGACCTTTAAAAAATAAATAAGCATAGAAAAAGTACTGTATTAAGTTTAGAATATTTAGAAATGTTGTTTTTAAAACATACTGTACATAATACAGGTAAGACTGCATAATAATAATAATAATAATAATAATAATAATAATAATAATACATTTTATTTGTAATGCGCTTTTCTTAGACTCAAAGCGCTACAAGGCAAAATACTAGCAATACAAGGCAAAATACCAACAATAGCAGAAACAGCACAACAACATAAATGGTTAACTGTGACACAAAAAATCATGTGAATTTTAACCCTACTTTTATTTATTATGACACTTTTTTACACAGTTTCTTTTCAATAGGTTAAAGTTAAAAAAAAAAAGGCTATTGAAAAAAAAAAAACAATTATGCTATTTAGGAGCCATGTGCACATAGCTGCACTCTCTCTCTCTCTCTCTCTCTCTCTCTCTCTCTATCTTTCTCTCTCTCAAGCTCAAGTTCAGGTTGCTTTTTACTATTTAGTACAATATTGCCAAAGCATTTTAGATATGTATGAAATCTGCTTGTTAAGTGGTGACGTGTTTGTGACGTATGTAATACTGTTTCCGGGTCCAAGCCACCATTCATTTGAGTTGAGAAATCATTCGTTTATGATCACTTTTTATTCATATCACACATTAAAGTTAATTTTATATAAATTCATAGTGTACACAACAATCGCTGGGCTTGCCGCATAACAAATACCAAAATTTTAACAATTTATAAAACAATGAATCACTTTCTGGCCATCAGATATTAGGCACGGACATATATGTATTGCGATCGTCACTTTCGAAAGTATTAAATCGCTTTGTAAACGTTTATATTACCATTTCATGAATCTCCTCATTCTGTTGAATAGAGAGCTTGGACCCGGATGCCGCTCCGCGTGACTTAACAAGCGGATATGTAGTATATTTGCCATCAAATTAATACCATATACAGCAAATGACAAACAAATTACAGGAAAATGAATCAAAACAAAAGACAATTCTCTAAAATATGTATTAACAATTAAGTAATAATTACAATAAAAGGTGTAGATTTAAATAAGGCAAATGAATTGATTGACCATTTCTAAAGATGTACATATATTTTGCAGCCAGTTTAGAGAGACACTGCTCGCTGCAGAGCCACTTGAGCTCCAACTCCTCCTCCTATAAGCTGTTTCAATGCGTACACCCACCCCACCCCTAACCCCAACCTCCAGTGACATCACTTGTAGAAGAAGTGCAAGGAAGGAGGAGCTGGAGCTCAAGCTCCCCCTTGCTGGAGCTCGGCTTTGCCCAAGTGGCTTGAGTTTAGATGTCATTTCGTCTTCTCCGAGTGTTTAGTAAAGTTTTATTTTAATTGTTTAAGTTAAGCCACGCAAAAAGCAGTCTTTAATAAAAGTAATGCAAAAACGCAGTAACTTTAAAAAAGTGAAAGCGAATGTGCAAAATGTCAGCAGCAGATTTTACCTGCCAGTGGGTGCACATGGTTTCTGAATAGAATAAATGTAAAACAAATAGTGGATTTCTTTTTTTATGTCAACAATCTTTTTTAAAACTTCAAACCATTGAAAATAAACGGTGTATAATAGTGTCATATATTGTTAAAAATCACTTTATTGTCATGTGCTGTGAGTAAAAGGTGTGTTTCAATCCGGCTATCACCGCAAGTATATTTCAAATCTGTGGGAAGCACTGTATATGATTACAGTTGAACCACTAAAGCAACATGGAATGATTTGACTATGTTTTTGGTTCCTTTTCTGGATTTTGAAAGATTCTGGAACATTACCGTCTTTGGAGGGTGAGGGAGCTCTCCTAAAATATATTTAAAATATCTTCATTTGTGTTGAATATTTACACACACTAATTCTTTAATACATGCTTGAATACATTTTATTTGGCAACTAATATAATATAACAAATATTTTAAAATGTAGAAATGGTGATTAAGCTGGAACAATAGTGTTTTCTGTATGCTTTTTCTAGCTGTGACAGTAAGCAAAGAAAAGTTTTCCATGTCAGTTACCAGCACAACATAAATCAGTATGCAAATAAATGTAGCCTATATACTAAAACATCAAATCTGAGTAAACGAAATAAAAAATTAATTTGCATCTCATATATGCAAGACAATTTATGGTTGTAAATTTGTGAAAATGAAAGACACTTTAAGACTTTTTAAGGATCCAGACATCCTGCTTACTGGTTGTATCCAATTTTCCATCTTAGATGCATTCAGCGTATCTGAAATATGACGGTTCACATTGCTTCCTAAAAGGTTGCTTGCATTTTTAACACATTTAAAAAGTAAGGTACTTTCCTATGTAACACTGCCCTTCAAAGTAGGTCGAATGGATTTTTAAAATGTAAAAGCATGAGATGTGGCTCAGCACTATGTGCCTAACAACACATCTGATATTCCATTTCGCCCTCAGCATCAAGAAAGCACTATAAAGTTCAATGCAATTTACCCTTGAATGGAAAACAGGTCAATGTATCCTTTGATCTTGCTTCTTTCTCACACTTCCTTCTCTTTGTTCCAGACCAGCAAAGCCGTGACTAAGGGAGACTTTCCATTAGCTAGCATCGCATCTAGACGAGCCTTGTTCCTGGCTGCTCTCTCCATCACCATTGGGACAGGGGTCTACGTGGGTGTAGTGGTGGCCCTCATTGCGTATCTGTCCAAACCAGGCCACATTTAGCAGACCGCTCAGGAGAGGATTGCAAAACTCCACCATACTACAGTTCACGTATTTTTTTTCAAATGTCTCATTCTCGTCCCTCCCCGTGGACTGCCTGTCCAGTCAGAGAAAAGGATGAAGCAGAAGAACTGGGCACTTTATCGCCTCAGTCATAATATATACATGTACGCTTCACCCTCGCGTCAAACCACACTGGATGAAACTTAACTAAGTCTGAGAGCAGTTCAGGTGAAGAATATAAACTTCAGACAAATCAGCAATCCAATTAACTGAACCCAAAAGAGAAAGTATTCCAAGGGACACCAAGAAGGATCAAAAGGGACTAAGTGCCCTTGGATTTGTTTTTCTCTTCCCAACTGTGCTTCGTTCCAAATCTGAAAGAGAAATCAAGCCGTTTCTCTGTTTCTCTCTCTCTCATTACTTACTTAGTCCGGTAAACCCTGTATGTGCGTGTGGCCCAATTAAACCAGCGTTGGTGAATACACCGACTGCAGGCTTTGAGCTCTGTTAAAAAGAACAGAATGTTTTCATCCTATGCTGGAGAAATAACACAGCTTTGTATGTTATAAGCAAATGTGGAGGTCATACATAAACCTAAATGCTAATGATCACAATATGGATCTACAGGACAAGAAAAAACTCTCCAAGACTGTGCGTTCCACCTTGAATTAATCACTACTTGTACACACAGTCTATATGTTATTCCTACTTTTGTATTCCTGGATTTTAGGTGCTTTAAGTTGTATATGCTTTGCCTTTGTTTTGTTAAAAGTCCAAACTTCATTCTGACCCAACATAAGCAGCAAGGTTAATGTGTGGGACGCAAGGACAGCAAGTGTTTATGTTATATCGGTGCAGATTTGCTTGACTTTACCAGATCAACTTTTGCTCCCGGGTGTCTGAACTGAATATAAATGAAATGACTGCGCAAACATGGATGAAATGGCGACGTGTCCTTTTACTCCCCAAATGCATCATTTAATGTCTCTTATGAGTCGAGTACAAAAATCAATCAGACTTGGCATAACAGACGCTCAAAAATGTATGATATGCTCTCTTCAGATCCTAAGATGGATGTTTGAACAAAAAGCCAGGTTTTGTTTTCAGGTGAAAGGGCCTCAGATTGAATCGATTAATAATGTATAGGATGTCTGTAAGCTCACGGGCATGAACAGGAACACACAGGGGATGTTGAGGTAAAGGTCGACTGCTCTATTTCAACAACAATGAAGCCTGGATGTGGTGTAGTCATCCGCATAAGAACTTCAAAACATGAAAACAATGGCTTCTCCGGCGGCTATAGGTTGTGATTCGGGGCTTGATTTGAATTCCTCTGATGGAGTGCTCAGTCGGAAACTTGGAGAAATGAAATTGGCCACATTGTGAAGTAGGAATAGCCAATTGTGTATACACTCCTAATTGCTTCCCGTGGCTATTTGGAATACCCAGCTGTATTGAATACACACATTTTCAGGGTGAAGCCTTTTGGGGGCCAGATTGACAAAACATTCAAGTACAATGTACTATTTTCTTCCTTTTCCAAAAGTTTGTTTTTGATATTCCCCCAAGAAATTACAGAATGTTCTTAGCTTTTTGTCAAAGGGATGTAAATTTTAATTTGCTGATAATTTACTCACTCTAAGGCTATCCAAGATGCTCTTTAGTAGAAGATTAAAGAAGATTCTTAGCTGAAATGAGGGTTCTCAAGACACCTCCAGGAATTATGTTTAGGACTGCTTGTTGAGTCTGTGGATAAGATATAATAATGTTCAGTCTTTTGCAAAGACCGATCATTTTGCCAATCCTTCATAATAAATGAATGTATCATCAGGAACTGTGGCAAAATTGCGATCTCGATAATTATTTTCCATGGTGAACGATAACGATATACATATTTCAATATCAGTTGTTAATGTTTCCAGGTTTAAAAGATTATCCCAACAACGACTGAAGCCAAAAAAATTAGAGGGTCCATTAAATGGCATAACATATTTTCGGCTGATAAATTTTCGGTGGCTGAAAATTCTGTACATCTCTAACATCAACACACTTCTAGATTCCCATTGTAGCACATTTCTGGTGTTTGATTGGCTCCTAGATCAATATAGAGTAAAAAAAAGTCCTGAGCTTGTCATTGTTATTGTCAAATATTATCGCGATTTAATATAATATTGTTTATCAGCCCAACCCTAGGAACAACAGGTATTAGTAAGATTTGCCGGCCTGTTTTTTTGATTGTCAAAGTGCCACCAGCCATTAAATTGCGTTTTATAAATCACCAAAGATCATGGTTTCAGCTAAAAAGTCTTATTTGAAGAAAGTCACATCTTTGATAGTCTGAGGGTATGTTAACTCCAAATTCAAACCAAATCTTTCCATTTAAGACTATTTGCAGAACAAAACATTTTTAAAAAAACACCATAAGTAACTTCTCAAAGTTAAGATACCCTCCAATTACCCTCCAACCTCCATTAGACAAGCCTTATGAGTTTGACAGTACGCAGTCAGATAGCATCAACACCTGTAATTTTATTCTTAAAACCATGACACACTAAACTAGAGTTGAAGAACTAGCCGCAAGAAAAGCAGACTGTTGTCTCCTCACGTCAGCTGCGTCTCAGTCAGAACCTGTGATTCATCACAATAAAAGGACTACAGGCGATTACAAACGAGCACATATGCATTCTGCATCTGCGTGTGAGGAATTTAACTGTCTAGATGAGCAAGGAATAATATTCAGAATTCTTCATTCACAAAGGAATATCTACACTAGGACTGCTACAGATATTTAAACTAATCAGTGCACTCTTATCATTTTGGATATCAATATACTGAACAGTTTCGCCAGTCAGGTGGATGCTGTTATTGATTGATGGCTTGGTGCGTCTTGATGATCCTTGAGGACAAAACTATGGATGTTTTTTTTTTTTTTCCTGTACAATTTACTTTGATTTGAAGAAGGGAATAAAACTGTCACGATGTAGTAACTTCATCTTGGTTTGGTTCACCAAAGCAGTGTTTCTAAATGATCCAGTTGTTATGTGCAGGTAAACACTCATCTCATGGGTCAGAATAAAACCTGTCTGCATACCAATCATCCATCAGAATGTATAGACAACTGTCTATATGCGTTTATTGTGGCTTTCTTTTTTTGTATGAGTGTGTGTGTGTGTGTGTACCTTGTATTTTCATGTTGTGGGGACCAAACGTCCTTACAAGTACAGCTATACTAACCACTAAGGTTTAATCTTGTGAGGATATAAGGCTCATAAATCATACAGAATTGAGTATTTTGAAAATGTGAAAAATGCAGATTGTTTACTTTGAGGGTTGGGTTTAGGGATAAAGATGGGATAGGGGTACCATTTACAGTTTGCAAATTATAAAACTCATTCAGTCTATAGGATGTCCACAATTAAGATTAGTTCTTGCTCCAGATTAAACTGAGTCATTCTGAGATGCATTACATAAACATTTTAACACAGTGTACGTTATAACTCACAATACACTTTGATTAAAACCTGGTTCATTGTTCCACTGGCTTTCTCATCACAAGCAAACTGCACCAGATGTTTTTATTTTTTGTTTTTTAACTGACTGACTTGTTGAAATCTTATATGATCTTATACTCATAATGTTATCAATTAAATCGTAGGTGCCAACCATTTTCACATATGCCAAACAAACTCTGCTAAGGAAGACAAATAAGCACCAGACTTTGAAACAAAAAGCCAGTTGTAAAAGCTCTTGAGATCCCTTTGAGAAATGTACTTCCTAAGATATTTTTTTTCTTCAATTATATATTTTAGCCCTGCTCCAGGGGATAAATAAAAAAACACAACAGCTGAACTCACCGGACGTTAAGGTTACAGGTGCTTTTTTTGAAGTCTGCAAATAATAATTACCTGAAAGGTATGTGGATTGTGAAAACAGAGAACTGGTGTAAGGTTATGCTTTATAATTTCATATTAATGAGCGAATACATACGGCGAGTTTAAGAAACAACTCGGACTTCATGAATAGTATACTGATTAACTATTTCAGTGTGTGAGATGTGCTACCTGGATACTACAGGGTGGGCCATTTATATGGATAAACCTTATTAAAATGAGAATGGTTGGTGATATCAACGTCCTGTTTGTGGCACATTAGTATATGTGAGGGGCAAACTTTTCAAAATGGGTGGTGACCATGGTGGCTATTTTGAAGTCAGCCATCTTGGATCCAACTTTTGTTTTTTCAATTGGAAGAGAATCATTTGACACATCAAACTTATTGGGAATGTTACAAGAAAAATAATGGTGTGCTTGGTTTTTACAAGTTTCTGACCACTTATAAAATGTGTTCAATGTGCTGCCCATTGTGTTGGATTGTCAATGCAACCCTCTTCTCCCACTCTTACACTGATAGCAACACGGCAGGAGAAATGCCAGCACAGGCTTCCAGTATCCGAAGTTTCAGGTGTTGCACATCTTCACATCACCATGAAACACATCATCATGTAGCAATTCCAAATATCCCGTGGTCTTGAGGTTTCCATTGATGAAGAATGGCCCCACTATCTTTGTTGTCTATGATGTGAAGACAAGATGTGCAGCACCTGAAACCAAGGATACTGGAAGCCTGTGCTGACATTTCTCCTGCGGTGTTGCTATCAGTGTGGGAGAAGAGGTTTGCATTGACAATGACTCTATAACTCATGAAAGAATAAAGTTACGTTAAAACCAAGCACACCATTGTTTTTCTTGTGAAATTCCCAATAATGTGTCAAACGACCCTCTTCCTATTGAAAAAACAAAAGTTGGATCCAAGATGGCAGATTTCAAAATGGCCAACATGGTCACCACCCATCTTGAAAAGTTTGCCCCATCACATATACTAATGTGCCACAAACAGGACGATAATACCACCAACTATTCCCATTTTATTAAGGTGTATCTATATAAATGGCCCACCATGTACAATAAAAAATAGCACCAATTAAAAATATATAATCTCTAATGCAAGTTTAGAGGTCAGGGAAAAAATTTCTACAAGAGGAAGGTTTCTATTGGTGTGGTGCTTTGTTCAAGGTCTACAGATTTACACATTACCAGAGCTTTGAAAGACCACACTGGTGCAAATGCATTCCCTGAACCATTTTTATGAGACAAGAATGAGCTGAAATAAAAAACGAGGGTTCAGTTGAGGATTTTACTGTTAATTCACTATTCATATTTGTGCATTATGAACTAATTTCACTTAACGTTTAGTGTATGGAATGAGAATTGACTTAGAAATAATAAAAACTAATTCAATTACTATATATGTTCGCAGACTTTAATGCAAACAAACCCCAGCTGCATTCAGTATGTAGCACAACAGGAATGACTGATGCCTGGATGGCTAAACGCAAAGCTCTGCTGCTTTCTTTCTCAAAGCCTGTGATGCACAGACAGCAACACACACTCAAGACCTGCTGGTTTTTGGTTTGGGTCTTTAGCAAATGCATTTCCACTGCAACCACCAGAGCGTTGAAAGCCAACATGGGACACTTGCAGTCTCTCAGCACAGGTCATGCATTAGTCATACCTGACATTTACGGTTCACAATTAGCTTCCCATAATGGCTTTTTCCAAGGAAGCGCCTGCTCTCCAGAGCATAGCTGGAAATAGCAAAACAGAATGGTTTTTACAAATAACACCCTATGCTACTTTGCAGCCACTGAAGCTTAACTGAGCTAATCTTTCAAGTGCAGCATAAATAAAATTAAAATATCGGTTGCAGATGACAAAACAGGGTGCTTGCTCAAATTTGCCGGAATGAAAATAGCTTTAGCATCAAGGTCTGAACTGATTTAACATGATATGTAGCTGTTTTTGCTCATGTGTTTGCGTCATTAATTTCTAAATGAACAGTGTCAGCCTTTCCTTTGGTTGTGTATCAGTCTGGCCCTTTTTCTCCCTATTTTACGTTTCCATAGTGACTAGTCCTTTTCAGACATTCATTTTATGCACTCGCTGTGACCTACACTGAACCAATGGAGAGATTAAATGTGCAATTTAATAAACTGCGAGAAAGTCCAGATGCTTATGTTTTGGTCACTGAAAATGCTGTTTTTAATCTGGTGTGGCTTATCGCTACAAATTGAGCAGATTGATATCTGTCAGATTCCGTTTGAACAGATTGAAAGAGAGAACGAGGAAAAAAAAGTGTTTATAAAGATTGTCAATGTTTTCTTCTTGGTATTGTAATTCTTTTGAGTTTTCATTCGTTCATGATCCGAATGTGCTTGTGTGACGGCGGTGATGTAAATATTGCAAATGAAAGACATGATGCAGCTGTGTAAAATAAATGATTTGAGACAAAAAAGATCTTGTTGTTATTACTGTGCTACTTAGATGCGTTTCTGCCTCTTGGGAAAATAGATGATAACACTGTGGTCTTTATGTGTGAATTTCTCTTGTCAGGAACAAAATGCTAGTCAGACCAAACAGACGGATGAGTCACGTTGGAGCTTAGCAGAGGTGTGTATGGAGGTGTGAGCATGGAGATTCACACTTTTCCTTCCCCTCTTATTCATATATTAACTGCAACAGAATCCTTTTGTGGAGGACATAATGGAGGAATGCATCTTACAATCTCATAACACCTGCACTATCTGACAAAAGTCTTGTCGTCAATTCTAGTTGTAAGAGAAACAAATAATAATTTGACTTTTAGATGATCATTTGGAAAAGTGGCAGAAGGTCGATTTTCCTGATGAATCGTCTGTTGAACTGCATCCCAAACATCACAAATGCTGCAAAAGACCAATTAGAACCCACATGGACCCAAGATTCTCACAGAAATCAGTCAAGTGTGGTGAAGGAAAAATCATTGTTTGGGGTTATGTTTAGTATGGCGGCGTGCGAGAGATCTGCAGAGTGCATGGCAACATCAAAAGCCTGAGGTATCAAGACATTTATGCTACTCATTACAATACAAACCAAAAGAGAAGGCAAATTCTTCAGCAGGATAAGCTCTTCAAACTTCAGCCTCTACATCAAAGTTCCTGAAAGCATAGAAGGTCAAGGTGCTCCAGGATTGGCCAGCCCAGTCACCAGACATGAACATAACTGAGCATGTCTGGGGTAAGATGGAGGAGGAGGCAATAAAGATGAATCCAAAGAATCTTGATGAACTCTGGGAGTCCTGCAAGAGTGCTTTCTTTTTACATTCCATATGACTTTATTAAAAAGTTATTCCAGTCATTGCAGAGATGTATGGATGCAGTCATTAAAGCTCATGAGAGTCATATTGTCACCGACTCGGTCCCAGTCATTCCCCTTGCTGGCCAGCAGAGGTCATCATCACCGGACTTCTAACCATTACGTCATCCACTTACACTGATAGCATGCACACCTGCAGCTCATCGAGTTGATCACCCACGCTTACATATAAGCAGCACACACACACACACACTTTCATTGCGAAGTCTTGTTCTGCCCTGGCTAACACTACTGAGCGTTCCTCTACATTGCCTGCTTTCCCGTTGCTTACCCTGCCTTGATTATCGACCTCGTCCTGCCTGCCGCTTGCCTTGTACCTCTGCCTGAATACTGACTCTGATCCACGCCGCCTGCCCTGAACTCTAGCCTGAACACCGACCTTGATATTCGCCACCTGTCTCTGACCCATGCCTGTATACTCATCCTGTGTTTACCTGCCGATAGCCCTTCGATTTAATACAACTGTGTTTGATGTGAGTTCGCACACGCATTACATCTGTGTGCTTGTTATTAATAAACTGTGTTTAATAAACATACTGCAAATGGATCCCTCTGTGTCAGCCACTTCCTTACCGTACGTTCACACCGAAAGCGGCGAGAGCGTCAAAGTAGCCGGAAGTCATTCATTTTCAATGAGAGCCAGCGGCGAGGAGCAGCGCGGCGCGTCTTCGCCGGCGTGAGCGTCGAGGAGAGTTGAAATGAAGTCAACTTTATGGTAATGAGCTATGACGCGGTTCGGCGGCAAGCAATCAGAATTAAGACGTCCATTGCTTGATAGCAGTTCAGAGAACACAGACCTGTAAACTTTGGTTCCGACCACAGTTATTCCCAAGGGTTTGATTATTTCGGTCGCC